CCAGAGCCTCGCTGTTCGTTGGATGAACGAGTCTTTGGAAAGAGATGTTCTGCAGGTCTCCAAAGTGACCACGAAGGGGTGCGGAGCCTCAACTCGACGGGTTAATCTCGCGGGGACTGCCAGGGGAGGAACAATTGTTGATATTTCATGAAAATATCTATAAAATAGAGCCAGATCGCCAAAGTTTCTACGGTGTTCCAGAGAAGTGGGTGAGTTTGTGAGCGAGGCATCACCCACGAGACGAATTGCCCTTTTGTGGACAGAATCCAACATATGTTTGGGTGCTGCACTTCAAATATGGGAACAGCATTCCAGGAAAGGTCGGATCTGTGCCTTATAGATCATAAGCAGCTGACTGGAAGTGAAATAGCTCATGGCCCGAAACAGAAATCCAAGTTTTTGGGATGCACTAAATTGATCTCACGTGATTTTCCCAAGAAAGGTTATTGTTTTGATAGTAATACCAAGCATCGGAATGGATGTCTTCAAAGGTATGTTTACTCCTGACAAGCTTATGTTGGGCACAGTGAGATCGGCTTTCCTAGAGAAAAGGCATGCTTGTGTTTTGTTTGCATTGGAATCTACCAAGTTATTGGATCCCCATTCGCGAGAATTGTTGCCAATTCCATATTTATTTGTCAACATTTCTCCCTTGTTCGTTTCTGATTTGCCTGGCTGGTATTGAAGCCCTGGAAGAGAAGGCGGTATGGAGGGTACTATCATCCGCGAAGCTGTGTACTGGACATGAAGTTGCTTCCAACAAATCGTTCATGTGGAGTAGAAATAGTTTTGGTGAATTGGTGCTAGAATTGATCCTTGCGGAACACCAGCATTTATGATAAGAGAGTCAGAGACTGGTCAAATCGTCACTGCTGAACGAATGTGTGTTGTACAGGTTATGCAAACATGGCCATATATGCGTTGACATTGATGACGTGTAGTTATGGTTTCAGGTACGATTGATATCAAGGTTCTTAGCATCTTTCCGATAAAAAAAGAAGGGAGAACACCTCACTAGGTACAACATTATGCTACAAAAATATACACAGTTCTTACCCCCGCAGATTTTTCTCAAATATTTAATGCCGCATTGCTGTGGAGATGATACCACACCACTATAATCCATGACTCAGCACACTTGATTCTTGAACACTTCCCCATTGAAAAACAAAGGTGCTTTGCATCGTCTTCAGAAGAAACAACAGCGGCAATGACGAATGGCGGCTAACGACTGAGGAGTCGAATGGGCGTAGGCGTACCGCTGTATATACGTCACTGCAAGTCTTTTAAACAAGCAGAGATTTTCTTGAACCAATATAAATTGGAATCTGTGTCAGTTGTAGTCGCGGTTTTCTTGAATGTTGAGCAAATTCATATCAAGAAATTTCAAGAAACGAAGCAAGCCAGCCGATTGATATGAGATAACTGAATATTGCTCCATTCAAATGAATAATTCTTGTAGGAAGCAATTTGATTGCAAGAAAATGGATTTGTTTGATCGAAGAAACCTTTTTTATTTGTGTATAACTCTTATATTGAAATTTGTATTCTTATATGAACTATGGCTGAAACCTCTTGAGGTGTCGATTATTGGGACGTTCATGCATATGAGTAATCTTGTTTTTGATGTGCTTATAAGCGGTGAAAACAAAAACAAAACATTAAAATTCTGGATGTTATCTCTACATGAAAGCTGATATGTTTCGTGTCATATAATTATTGTACATTTTATAATGATTTCATACAAACAAACATTGTATACAAATACTATGGAGTCTAGATGATATCTCTTGACTCACGGATTAAAATGAAAGTTGATGAATAATGTAGAAACCCAGAACCTAGAAACTGAATCTTTTGTACAAATTACTTTATTAAAACTTGATTATAACATCCTCCATATAAAGTGTGTGTATTGTGTATTAATTAAAATCGTTGGTCGTGCTTAATGTAATCGATAATGGAAATCTACTGCAAAAGAATGAAGATTCCAATAGCTTCTTCTAATTGCATTGCTTCATGTCATAATGATGATGATGATATAAGCATTTCTCTGTGCAAATATCTGGATACAATTTTTTCGAAGCATAATGCTGTGACTGGTGCTGAGGGAGTGCCGTAACATTTTTAATTACTCAGAGAACACGAAAAAACCATTTATACAGGGTGTCTAAACAGTTTGAAAACGGTGGTTGCCCTTTCCCATATAGCACGAGTACGACCCCAAAACGTACTGGAAACGTCCGGCCAAGACGTTTCGTACGTACTGGGGACGTCCAGATTTGGTACGATCGACGTTCAGGTACGTACAGGACCATGGATACATGAATCAACGTAGATCCGCCTCTTTTCACTCAGATAGTCAAAAAAGAGATTTAGATACAGTAGAAAGTCTTATTCTGAATGAAAAAAATTTAAAAAAAAAACGCTTCTACCGCGGGGATCGATCCCACGACCTTTAGATCATGCTCAACCTATTACTCTGAAGAACACTTGTTGATTAACAGTATACAACAAGCAATATTATGTGCGAATGCCGATTGACTCATCACATCGATACTTTCATAGAATCAGATAATCACGGCAGAGAATACCTAAATAGGTGTTTTGTGATCTGGTGGGGCTAGTGAATAATGAATTTATTGTGAGCATTGTATTATGTTTATGTTTGCAAGGCTCCTATATGAATAGATTTCAGAGATCGAGGGTAGAAATTATATATGCAATGATTTCGATTATCATTAAACAATTCATTCAATTCCGTAAACGAGAAGTCGATAACGTCCAGAGTTGGACGTACCCAGTACATCGGAATCGTACGTACCCAGTACGTCCAGAAATGAACGTTTTCAGTACGTTCAGACCTAAATGGGACCTAAACTAGATGTTTCCAGGACGTCGAGTGCTATATGGGATCCTCAGCTTAGCAGATGATAGTACTCTCCATACTGATTTTACTCCCGGAATTCTCATTTCTTCCCAGGAAACTAGAAACTCATGACGAAGGCATCCCTAATAATAATATAAGTTTATTCAAAAACGTTTACAAAATATACATTGGAACATACAGATAGGTATTTTGAATAAACTGGCAAAACCCTTTTGAAGTGAACCTTGTAGTAAGGATAAAAAACAAATGTACATAGGTAGGTCAATAAATATTTAACAATATCAGATTTACACAAGGGAAAAATTGTCTCATTGGGGAATAAGACATCATGTATACCTATAATCTTATATAGTGTACTGAGCATCTCATTCAATTCGCATAATTATATATATATATAAATTCTTATTCACAATTATCATTCAGATGTTTCTAATTATATTATTGAATGTTAATTAAAGAGATAAAATCATTTATGTCTCTTAGGACAAGTTCCGAATCGTATCCAGGACATTCTGAGGACTTCCTTGTAACGTCCATAAGACGTTGTACTCATAACATCTTATGAAATGATATTATTGTGCCTAATTATTACTCAGATGAACATATAGATTACGCCAAAGTATATCTTAACGAAATTTCAACTTTACTATGGATTACTGATGTATTTGTGGCAAGAAATTGAACGAATCAATCGACATAATGACATATCACTGTTGAGACAATTTCATTTCTTCAAATATAACAAATCATCTACTTTCTCAACTTGAAACTTTAAAGTTATTAAAATTGCTCAACGTGCCCTCTATTTTGATCCAAACATTTTCTTCTTCTTTCTGGATCCCATCCTGTTTGTTTTTAACTTTTCTGCAAGCTTCTTCATGCTTCCTGGTGGTAACGTCAGGAAAATACACTTCAGATTCAAATTATCTCCACTGGGAATAATCCACGGGATTCAAATCAGGTGATCTTATAGTCCTTATGAGGGCCGCCTTGTCCTTGTTCATGTATCAGGAAAATTTTGGACTCCAAGATCACCCGATGTGAAAACCGTGGATTATCACCTGTGGGGTTATCAGGTATTCATGGTCTTGAATGGACGTACTGGAAATGTACAAATGCGTCTACGGTCCTAATCTGGACGTCCCCAGTACGTACGAAACGTATTGGCCGGACGTTTTCAGTACGTTAGTGGCGTTAAGTTGGCCAGTGGGCAACTTTTGTAATCGTTCATTGAAAAATGAAAATATTAAGCCAATGATAGTTCTGAAGTGACATTGCTCTAGTGATGGGCCATGTATTGATGATTGCTGGGAGGTTAAGTTTGGAAACTTGTATTTCAGATCACAATCTGAATATGTAGCGTTTTTAGTTTCAATTTTGATATTATTAATTTCTTTCCTTCCGTTAGATTATGGTCGAAGGGGAAATGGAAGAAGTGAAAGTGGTTCTGCTACCTCATTGGTGGTCATTACTCATTATATCACCAGTGTTTCCAGCATAGAAACTATCAAAATTCCACATTGCTTGAAAAAATATGACGCCATCGCCTGACTCATTCAAATTTATATAATATTCTATCAATGAATTCGTTTTGAAAAATAAAGATACACATAATCTATCGCAATGAAGAAAATGTATTCTAATTCCAATGATATGACGCCTAGATTCAAAATCTTTATGATTGTTTCAACATATTTTTTCTAAAGAAAAATTCGTATAAAAATTCACAATCACAAAACACGTACACAAACTTTCACGTCAGTTGTCAGTGTCAGTACTCGCTATTTAGAGCCTGGAATGTTTTGTTCTGTGAATCTACGGTTTGATGTAACAAAACTTCATCAATTGGCACGTGACAGTAGACAGAATTCAGATTTTTTCTGAAATGATGGCGGTTTATCATTCGAACCCAATGTACGAGATGAGTTTCCACTGAATGAGACGAGATTGACAAGATTCCATTTTGGATTCTCATGGACATCACTATTTCCCGGATATTTCCAGGAAAATTATATCTCCCACCAAAAATCCAGCATTCATTCGGAATTCCCGTGATGCGGGAAATTCTTCGCCGATCGGCAACACTGTATATCACCGTTCTATCTTCCAGGAGTGGGCATCGTCCTCGTGACTGTCAGCGGCGTCGCGTGGCGCCTCACCTCCCGCTCGCCCCCCTCCTGTCGCTCGCTGCTCGGCCTGCGAGGGGGCGGGGCCACGCCCGACCCCGCCCCCGACACCTGCCCGCGCCGCTTCGCGCCCCGCCCCCCGCCGCCGGCGTTCGGCCGACCGCACCACCCGTACGCCGCCATGATGTATCCGGAGTTCAGGCACCGGCCGCCGCCTCCCACTTACCAGGCCAGCATGCAGGAGTACCGGTTGAGGCTGCTGCTGCTGGATAGAGGCGGGGCTGGGGAGGTGGGCGGGGTTGGGATGGGCGTGGTCTCGCCGCCGCCGACCTATCGGAGCCATACAGGCAGTCTGTTGAGGTAGGTGGCAGGTGGAGTTCATTATAAGTATAATTACAGTTTGATTACATATTGAATTCCTTTTTCATATTCATTTTACTTGATTCTTTGGGATTTTCTCTCCTCGTTTCTATAAAATAAAAATATTCGTATTATTTCAATATATTTGTAGTGGGACAAATCAGATGATTTGCCCCAAAAGGTCACTGCGTTTAGCAAGTTTTTCTATTAGGGAGTCTAACAGAAAAATCCAGTAGCTTGTCAGTGACAATTCGTTTGAAAAAATGTTTGAAGGAAAGAAATATAGATATATTGAAAAATATCGAATTTTTACTTATCTCTGGACGTTTCGGGACCGAATCTGCTCCCGTTCTCTACATATGAATGCAAAATGTTTTATTAGAAAGTTTTGCTGCTTATAGTTTGACACTTTTCAGTGTCATACTGATGTTGGCGTATGAATAAGTCATTTTAGTCTCAGTAGTGAAAACTGAACATGAAAATGGTAGATTCAAGATCAATTAATGAAAACATCCTGTAACTCATTTGTAGACTGAAATCACTCATTCATATGCCAACATCAGTATGACACTGAGAAGTGTCAAACTATAAGCAGCAAAACTTTCGAAGAAAAATATTTTGCATTTATATGTTGAGAACGGGAGCAGATTCGGTCCCGAAACGTCCAAAGATAAGTAAAAAATCCGATATTTTTATATATGCGATTGTGTTTTTCCAAGAAACATCAATATATATAGAAGCAAATCTTGCATCTCAGTTGGAAGTCTGTTAGTTTGTTGAGAAACGACAACTAGAAATGGAATTTCTTGCAGAAGTAATAGAAACTAATAATGAATTGCAGTGGTATACATTTTTCACGTGATTATTCGATATATTTGTTTTTACAATCATATAACATGACATTTCAAAAACTTAACTTCAGTTACTGAAAAACTTCTCAACGAAGTTCAAGATATTTTGGCATTTAACGTAATCGTCACTAATAATTCTTGCTTTCAGGGTACCTTTGTCCAATCGCCGGGACACCTGCCAGTCCGAATACAGCTGCCCCCCGTCGTACCGATCTCAGAACAGCATGAACCGACAGGGTACCGCCCAATCGAACTCGGTACTGCACAGCAGAGAGCACTCGCTCAGCATCTCAGAGTCCGACCACGGCGGTTCCATCGTGAACATCGTCAATATTTTGGGCACCGCGTGCGAGAATGGCGACACGATCACCTTGGACTCGTTCAAAATGGAGCCGGATCATGACTCGAACCCAGTGAAAATGTTCCTTACCGGTAATAATAGCGATTTGGAAGGTAGCAAGAGCGGTAACTTGGTTACGATCGTCCAGACGAACGACCGTACGCCGGTTATAGTTACGGTTAGCGGTAACTCGCAGATCGGTAGCTCTAATTCAGTTCAAATCACCGAGATACCGTCTGAAATCGAAATTTTGGCACATTTGTGAAGTGTTTCTGAATGATTAGACGAAGAGAGGAGAGGGGATTGGTAGCCAATATGACGTAGAATTGACCGTGTCAGTTCCTCAGTGAAATATTCAATCACAGCCATATCATCGAATCCATTTATCGCTGCATAAAACTCCGTTAGGATCGTAAAAATCGTTGGATTGTTCAATATCACCTACTGAACCAGACACTACAACTCTGAATTTCTTCGAAATGGAGCAGAAACATGACTCAAACCCAGTCAAAATGTTCCTTATCGGTAATAATGGCGATTTGGAAGGTAGCAAGAGCGGTAACTTGGTTACGATCGTCCAGACGAACGACCGTACGCCGGTTATAGTTACGGTTAGCGGTAACTCGCAGATCGGTAGCTCTAATTCAGTTCAGATCACCGAGATACCTTCTGAAATCGAAATCTTGGCACATTTGTGAAGTGTTTCTGAATGATTAGACGAGGAGAGAAGAGGGGATTGGTAGCCAATATGACGTAGAATTGACCGTGTCAGTTCCTCAGTGAAATATTCAATCACAGCCATATTATCGAATCCATTTATGGCTGCATAAAACTCCATTAGGATCGTAAAAGTCGTTGGATTGTTCAATATCACCTACTGAACCAGACACTACAACTCTGAATTCCTTCAACATGTTGCAGAATCATGACTCAAATCCAGTCAAAATGTTCCTTATCGGTAATAATGGCGATTTGGAAGGTAGCAAGAGCGGTAACTTGGTAACGATCGTCCAGACGAACGACCGTACTCCAGTTATAGTTACGGTTAGCGGTAACTCGTAGATCGGTAGCTCTAATTCAGTTCAGATCACCGAGATACCTTCCGAAATCGAAATTTTGGCACATTTATGAAGTGCTTCTGAATGATTGGGCACAGTTAGAAGAGAGGATTGGTAGCCAATATGACGTTTAATTGACCGTCACAGTTCCTCAGTGAAATATCATCACAGCCATATCATCGCATCCATTTATCGCTGCAGAAATCTCCGTTAGGATCATAAAAATCGTTGAAATGTTCAATGTTACCTACTAAAACACACTACAACTCTGAATTTCTCCAAAATGGAGCAGAAACATGACTCAAACCCAGTCAAAATGTTCCTTACCGGTAATAATAGCGATTTAGAAGGTAGCAAGAGCAGTAACTTGGTAACGATCGTCCAGACGAACGACCGTACGCCGGTTATAGTTACGGTTAGCGGTAACTCGCAGATCGGTAGCTCTAATTCAGTTCAAATCACCGAGATACCGTCTGAAATCGAAATTTTGGCACATTTGTGAAGTGTTTCTGAATGATTAGACGAAGAGAGAAGAGGGGATTGGTAGCCAATATGACGTAGAATTGACCGTGTCAGTTCCTCAGTAAAATATTCAATCACAGCCATATCATCGAATCCATTGATAGTTGCAGAAAACTTCGTTAGGATTGTGAAAGTAATTAAAATGTTCAACTTCACCTACTAAAACAGACACTATAACTCTGAACTTCTTCAAAATGGAGCAGAATCATGACTCAAACCTAGTTGAAATGTTCCTTACCGGTAATAATAGCGATTTAGTAGGTAGCAAGAGCGGTAACTTGGTTACGATCGTGCAGACGAACGACCGTACTCAGGTTATAGTTACGGTTAGCGGTAACTCGCAGATCGGTAGCTCTAATTCAGTTCAGATCACCGAGATACCTTCTGAAATCGAAATTTTGGCACATTTGTGAGGTGTTTCTGAATGATTAGACGAAGAGAGGAGTGGGGATTGGTAGCCAATATGACGTAGAATTGACCGTGTCAGTTCCTCAGTGAAATATTCAATCACAGCCATATTATCGAATCCATTTATGGCTGCATAAAACTCCATTAGGATCGTAAAAGTCGTTGGATTGTTCAATATCACCTACTGAACCAGACACTACAACTCTGAATTTCTTCAACATGTAGCAGAATCATGACTCAAACCCAGTCAAAATGTTCCTTATCGGCATTAATGGCGATTTGGAAGGTAGCAAGAGCGGTAACTTGGTAACGATCGTCCATACGAACGACCGTACAGATCACCGAGATACCGTCTGAAATCGGAATTTTGGCACATTTGTGAAGTATTTCTGAATGACTAGACGAAGTGTGAAGAGGGGATTGGTAGCCAATATGAAGTTCAATTGACTGGGTCAGTTCCTTAGTGCAATATTCAATCACAGCCATATCATAGAATCCATTTATCGCTGCAGAAAACTGCGTTATGATCGTAAAAATCTTTAAAATGTTCATTATCACCTACTGAACCAGACACTGCAACTCTGAATTCCTTCAAAATGGAGCAGAAACATGACTCAAACCCAGTCAAAATGTTCCTTATCGGTAATAATGGCGATTTGGAAGGTAGAAAAAGCGGTGCCTTGGTTATGATAGTCCAGACGAACGACCGTACTCCGGTTATAGCTACGGTTAGCGGTGACTCGCAGATCGGTAGCTCTAATTCAGTTCAGATCACCGAGATACCGTCTGGAATCGAAATCTTGGCACATTCTTGAAGTGTTTCTGAATGATTAGACGAGGAGAGAAAAGGGGATTGGTAGCCAATATGACGTAGAATTGACCGTGGCAGTTTTTTAGTGAAATATTCATTCACAGCCATATCACCGAATCCATTCATCGTTGTAAAAAACTCCGTTAGGATCGTAAAAATCGTTGAAATGTTCAATATCACCTACTGAACCAGATACTACAACTCTGAATTTCTTCGACAATCATGACTCAAACCCAGTCAAAATGTTCCTTATCGGCATTAATGGCGATTTAGAAGGTAGCAAGAGCGGTAACTTGGTTAGGATCGTCCAGACGAACGATCGTACTCCAGTTATAGTTACGGTTAGCGGTAACTCGCAGATCGGTAGCTCTAATTCAGTTCAGATCACCGAGATACCGTCTGAAACCGGAATTTTGGCACATTTGTGAAGTATTTCTGAATGACTAGACGAAGTAAGGAGAGGGTATCGGTAGCCAATATGACGTAGAATTGACCGTGGCAGTTTTTTAGTGAAATATTCATTCACAGCCATATCACCGAATCCATTTATCGTTGTAAAAAACTCCGTTAGGATCGTCAATATCGTTAGAATGTTCAATATCATCTACTGAACCAGACACTACAACTCTGAATTTCTTCGACACGGAGCAGAAACATGACTCAAACCCAGTCAAAATGTTCCTTATCGGTAATAATGGCGATTTGGAAGGTAGCAAGAGCGGTAACTTGGTAACGATCGTCCAGACGAACGACCGTACCGGTTATAGTTACGGTTAGTGGTAACTCGCAGATCGGTAGCTCTAATTCAGTTCAGATCACCGAGATACCGTCTGAAATCAAAATCTTGGCACATTTGTGAAGTGTTTCTGAATGACTAGACGAAGTAAGGAGAGGGTATCGGTAGCCAATATGACGTAGAATTGACCGTGGCAGTTTTTTAGTGAAATATTCATTCACAGCCATATCACCGAATCCATTTATCGTTGTAAAAAACTCCGTTAGGATCGTCAATATCGTTAGAATGTTCAATATCATCTACTGAACCAGACACTACAACTCTGAATTTCTTCGACACGGAGCAGAAACATGACTCAAACCCAGTCAAAATGTTCCTTATCGGTAATAATGGCGATTTGGAAGGTAGCAAGAGCGGTAACTTGGTAACGATCGTCCAGACGAACGACCGTACCGGTTATAGTTACGGTTAGTGGTAACTCGCAGATCGGTAGCTCTAATTCAGTTCACATCACCGAGATACCGTCTGAAATCAAAATTTCTGCACATTTGTGAAGTGTTTCTGAATGATTAGACGAGGAGAGAAGAGGGGATTGGTAGCCAATATGACGAAGAATTGACCGTGGCAGTTCCTTAGTGAAATATTCATTCACAGCCATATCACCGAATCCATTTATCGCTACAGAAAACTCCGTTAGGACCGTAAAAATCGTTAAAATGTTCAATATCACCTACTGAAACAGACACTCCAACTCTGAGTTCAGATCACCGAAATACCTTCTGAAATCAAAATTTTGGCACATGTATGGAGAAGGGGATTGGTAGGTAGTATGACGTTTATTTGATGTTGTCAGTTCCTCAGAAAAATAAACAATGCCATCAAATCATTGAATCTATTTACCGCTGTTTGGATCGTGAAAATCGTTACGAAAAGAGCGCTCTAGATACAACTCTGAATTCCCTCGAAATGGAAGCAAAATATGACTCGAACCCAGTCAGGATGTTCCTTTCAGATGATAGAAGTAAATGAGAAGAGAGAGTTGATAGCTAATATGACGTTCATTTGACGTTGCCATTTCTAGTGACATTGTGAACATCGTCAACATTTTCGCTAAATATGTTCAATTACAGCAAATCAATGAAATCATCGAATGCTTCTATTGGATCGTGAATATCGTTCTAATTTTCGGAAAAAGTTGTTTGAAACGACCCAAACTTTTATTTCGTGAAGTTGCTTCATATACAGGATCATTCGTTCTTCTGGAAAAGACATTTACTCTCATTTCTTCAATAAAACATCCTATATATTTTCTGACAAGTCCATAGAACTTTTTTTTATTTCAAAAATATATATGAGTTGCATATTTGGATGGATATCACTTGAGTTATTGATGATCAAAGTTTACCAATATACCACATCTCACATTCAAACTGTCCATTCATATTTTTTTATATTTGAGATTGAACGATTCTGATTTTATAATAAATAATATCATGACATTTCTATGGAGCGTAAACAATATATAAACATTATTTCAATGTTGTTCAACTTACATTAGATGATAAACAGTGGAGATAAAGCGGTATTTTGGTATATTCTGATCATCAATAACTGAACTATTTCTCATCCATATACAGGGTATTTGTAAAAGGTCTTTACAAAAACATACCACATATTCCTTAGACCAAAATAAGTCGATTTAAGTAAAATTACCTCAGTACAAAGTTGCATCGTTTGGGCTCCAGAGGGCCTTGAAGTTACAATTTTTAAATCGTTTTTCCCATATAAATTTAAAATGACATATGCGATTTTGCTGAAATTTGGTATATTGATAGAGTTTTATGTGGCAAAAAAAATGGTGTTAAAATTTTGTCCGATAATAATAAATAGGCGTAGAACTTGATTTTTTAAATAATTGCACCTTCAAAAATTCTACGCCAATGGAAGAAAAGGAGTTTGAGTATGAAATTCAGATTGCGCAACTCATTTACTTCAAAAAAGGTACTCCTGATGAAACTCGATTGCTCTCATGATTTTGACGAAATTTGCATTTCAGTAATTTTAGAACATAAACAATAATTATTGAAATACAAACTTTGTCAAAACCATGAGAGTAAATCGAGTGTTATCAAGGGTACTTTTTTGTAGTAAATGAGTACCCAATCCAAATTTCATACTCAAACCCCTTTTCTGCCATTGGCGTAGAATTTTTAAAGGTGCAATTATTTAAAAAATCAAGTTCTACGCCTATGGATTAATATCGGACAAAAATTCGACACAATTTTTTTGCCACATAAAACTCTATCTATATACGAAATTTCAGCAAAATCGCATATGCCGTTTTAAATTAATATGAGAAAAACGATTCAAAAATTGTAACTTCAAAGCCCTCTGGAGCCCAAATGATGCAACTTTTTTCTGAGGTAATTTTACTTGAATCGACTTATTTTGAGAATCATGACAGGAATTCTAGAGAGTTGGTAAATACAAAGTGTCCTATAGGAAATAACAAAGATAATGACGTCACTTCCGAAAAAACCGGAAGCATATCACAATAACTAGTTGGATTCTCCATAATTCCTCTGTCCCTACAAATTTTCAGAATTATTCTACTCTCAGTTCTCCATATGTAGGTCGCGTTAACTCAAGATGCATCCTGTATTGTTTTTCGAAAAATTCAATTTTGGACCATGAAAAGTACAGGTGAAGAATACTTGGTTTTTTACAGTTATACACGGTGTATCCTCCACTAAAGAGTCGAGATTCACTCATTTTCAATTTTTCACGGAAGTTCTAATTGTAAAACTTGGAGAAAATATGCATGCAGTAAATCTGAAGGAACTGATATTGCATCTCGCGGATGTCATGATCATTAGTTGCACCTGGTTTCCTGCCGGATATTAATCTAGCGAGATTTCTGAGTAACCAGACCGACAGTAAATTTGGAATAATAATATAGGGAACATAACAGATCAAAGAAAAGTGTCTAATAAAGAACGCAGCAAGCTGTATTTCCGCAAATTTTCATCTGATTTCAAATAATAGAGAAAACGTATTTCATTATTCAAAAAGATCTACCAACTGGTGCATTTTTTTCGAACGTTAACTGAGACATGAAAGAAAGCTCATTTATTTAATGCAATGATATGTATTTATTTATTTTTCCCGATTTCATTGGAATTTTTCCTTCGTGTCTTTGAATAAACATTTTGATATCATTGCATTATGGAATGTTTCAATGTGTGATATTGTACACAGTGAATTGTTTATATTGTAATATCTGATTGTGGGATATTCTGTGATAAATTCAAAAGATTTTTTCTATGAAAAAGTTTGACATTTCATCTCTGTTGGCAGGTTATAAAATATTCCTTTTCATAACTCTCTTTTTTCTCACGGGCAAAAAGTGAGTACTTTTTTTCCGGATATATACAGGGTGTCCCGAAATAACATAGAAAGATTTCAACCACACATTTTAGGAACAAAAATAGTACACAAATCGAATATTAACTTGAGCCCAGAAACGGTCATCTGAACGAGGGCCCGAGATTATGGTTATTTGAAAATATTCCCGAAACCTTTGCTTTGCTTTGTTGAAGTGAAGAAATTTCGTGCATGTATATTTCTTTTCATGCACGATTTCGAAATGTTGGGAATTTCCCCAAATTTTTATCAGGAGCGTGGGAAATGGGTGAGGCTAAGGGCATTTCTTTCCCCAACTGTTTTTCTATGCAATTTCCGGCAGTGTGACCAGGATATATGAAAATATCATCATTTCTACCTAAAAATGATACACTTGTTCATTTACGATAACCACTCACCATTTCCGAGATGAATCGATGTTGAAAGTCTGCTGCGTAATAAAAATTGTACTTTTTCTCAATAAAGTACCTACCATAATATTTTTCGAATCATTATTTTTATTGTTCCTCTCATATTCTGAGTCAAACATCATAGGTAGATGTTGAAAAATGATTTTCGGGAAGATAATTTATCGGAAATAAAGTAATAGATATTTATTATACCAGGAAAAAAAATAGTAGATTTCAGCTCCAGGTTGTGTTGTCTGACAGACAAAAAACCGTGAGCTAAAATCTAATATTTTTCCCGTGTATAATACACTATTTTTCTCTGTGACAGAATAAAGATCGAATCAATATTGAGAAAATATCACATTATTTTGAAATCTGAAAATTATCGACGTGAAATTTTAAGTTTTTAACAGTAGGGACACCTGCGTTGTATAGGCATCTTTATCATTCTTTTGAAGTAAAATCAAATATCTGATGTCACTTGTGACAGTCTAATTCTGTGATTTGATTTCAAAAAATTGCGAATTTAGTGGTTCTTCAGTAATATACGTAACCGCGAAGTCGAATGGAAGATAAAAGGACTTGCGGTTCTTCTTGGAGACGGAATTATTGACTGATTTTTCGGAACTATAGCACAACAAAAGCCATCAACAGGGTATATATATATGTGATCTATATCCGGGAAAGAAGTACTCACTTTTTTCCCACGGGAAAAAAGTAATTTATGAAAAGTGACATTTCATAACCTGCCAACAGAGATGAAATGCCAAACTCTTTTCCCGTCACAGAAAAAAATCACTTTTTGTTACGCAGCAGACTCTTAAAATCGATTTATTTCGAAAATGATGAGTGCTATCGAAACTGAATAGGAATATTATATATTTTTCTGTTGAAATTATGATATTTTCCTATTGCCTGATCAAACTGCCGAAAAATGCATTGAAAAATAAGTTGGGGGAAGAAATGCCCCTAGCCCCACCTATTTTCCACCCCCCTGATCAAAATTTCAGAAAATTCTCGATATTTCCTAATCGGGCATGGAAAGTTATATACATGTACAGAATTTCGTTATCCTAACACATATGGTTTCGGAACTATTTACATGATTCCATCATCTCGGGCTCCCCTTCAGATAGTTATAACTCCCGAGGGGGGCATTTCTGGCCCCATGTTTACATAAACTTTTTTCATCATTCTTTGTTCCTAGAATCTGTGTTTTATTCTTCCTATGTAATTTCGGTACACCCTGTATATATATACACTGTTGATGGCGAATTCGAAAAATAAGGGGTATACAAACTCAACTGTGCATCTTGTCCTAAGGTATACCGGGTGTCAACGAATCTATTAGACAAGTCATAACTTCTAGACCATCAGGTGTATCAAAATGAGATTTGGTATAGGTAAATGGTATGTGAAGAGGAGAGTTTTCACATATTTTTCACATTCCGGTCACTTCCGGTTTCACCGGAAATGGCTCCGGTTCTAAATTTTCAAATGGAACACCCTGTATATTGTAACATTTTTGGATTTTTGAGACAATTCTAGATCAGAATGTGACATTTTCGGAAGTTTTTATGCCTACTTAATTTTTTCGGAGTTTGAAATTAGGTGGCCATGACCGGACGTAAACCAATCTCAGGTGATATCAGAAAATTAC